TATTTCTATGCTAATCTTTATTATATTCCTCCTTCTTGCTTTGGGCTGTTTTTCTAGTTCTTTTTTATCCCCATGAGAACCAGAGAAATAGGACTTTTTCTAGTTCTTACATTACAAAGTTACTGATTTGACCTTTTTTTAAAATATAGGCATTTACAGCTACAAAATTCCCTCTAACTGCTGCTTTACCTGCATCTCATATAAGTTTTGTTATACTGTGTTTTCATTTCATTCATCTCAAAGTATGTTCTGATATCCTTGTGATCTCCTCTTTGACTCATTGGTTATTTATGAGCATGGTGCTTAATTTCCACACATTTGTGAATTTTCTAAATTTTCTTCTACTATTGGTTTCTCATTTCACCCTATTATGGTCAGAAAATTTACTTGTTTTATAGACTATCATATGGTCTTTCCTAGAAAATACTCCATGTGTACTTAAGAACAAATACAGGTTGAGCATCCCAAATCCAAAATGCTCCAAAATTCAAACCTTTTTGAACACCAACATAACTGCTGAAGGGAAATGCTCAATGGAGCATTCTGGATTTCAGATTTTCGGGTTTGGGATGCTCAACCAGTGTATCAGGCCAACACTCAGAATCTGAAATCTGAAACACTTCCATTCCCAAGCATTTCAGATAAGGGATATTTAACCTGTATCCTGCTGCTGTTAGGTAGAATATTCTAGAGATGTGTTAGATCTACTTAATTTATAGTATTGTTCAAGTCTTCTACTTCCTTGTTGCTCCTGTGTCTAGTTATCCTATCCGTGACTAAAAGTTGGATATTGAAGCCCCCAAATATTATTGTAGAATTATCTATCTGTCCCTTTGATTCTGTCAGGTTTTGCTTCATGTATTTTAGGGCTGTTATTAGATGAATATATGTTTATAATTATTATATCTTCTTGATGGATTGACCCTTTTTATCATTATTTTTTTATTTTCTTGAGACAAAATCTTGCTCTGTCGCCCTGGGTAGAGTGCAGTGGCATCATCGTAGCTCACTGCAACCTCAAACTCCTGGGCTCCAGCGATTCTCCTCCCTCGGCTTCCCAAGTGGCTGGGGATACAGGCCCACACAATTGCACCTGGCTAATTGTTTCTAGTTTTAGTAGAAACAGGGTCTCGCTCTTGCTCCTGATCTCAAGTGATCCTCCCCTACCTCAGCCTCCCAGAATGCTAGGATTACAGGAGTGAGCCACCATGC